AGAGAGACTTGAATTTGAGGCAGAGGAGGTGGATGGAGTTCATCGAGGATTATGATTGTAGAGTCAGAGTTTGGGCAGGGGGCAGCCCTTGTCTTGTTATCAGTGTGGACAGCCTGGGCACCTGAAGAGGTTTTGCCCGCAGTTGAGTGCCACTTCGGGAGCGTCTGGTTCTAGGCAGACGCAGGGTTTTCAGTCATCTCAGTCTGTTCAGGGCTGGGATGTACCTCTAAACCGGATAGTGTTGGGAGAAGATAGGGGATGAACTCCGTAGATACAGCTCATATGCTTGTCTAGAGAAGTGAAGATAGAGCTAATATGCTTATCTTTGTGAAGTGTGGATATAGCTCATATGCTTATCTGTGAATATGGGATATTGTTGTTATACATATCTGTTGGGAATGTGGATATAGCTTATATGCTTATCTGTGAATGTGGGATATTGTCGTTATACATATCTGTTGAGAATGTGGATACAGCTTATATGCTTATCTGTGAATGTGGGATATAGTTTTTGTACATATCTGTTGAAATGATGATAGAGCTAATATGCTTATCTGTTGAAAAAGGGAAAATGAAAGGTAACGTGGACTCATAAGTCGTATGACATAAATATGTAATTTATGTGAATGCATCAGTGTTGGCCATCTATCAATTGCTAATCTTTTAGTCATTGTTTGGCTCACCCTATATGGGAATATCATTTTCAGGTACAGGTAGCATGCCACCTCCAAGGACATAGCTTGGGAGGCTAGAGGCGGACACACTTTTGTCGTTTTACTTTTTGATGTATTACATGTAAATTCAAGCCAAGGGCTTAATGTGTAATGAGTTAGTACTCTTTTGTTGTAACCAAGTGTTAACTTGGAAAGCTGTAAGCCCATAGGGCACTTGCTTTTGTTGTTAACATGTAATACTTATGTAATGGAATTCTGATATATGGAAGAATGTGGAACTTTTACATATCAATGCATGTCTTATTTGATGGGTTTAATGTTATTATTTTGAGGGCGTTACAGCTCCAATATTGCTAATTGTGTTTCATTAGAAGAGTGCAAGCTGATAGGCCTCCAGTCACATGATTGTCACGTCTTTGATGCAACAGTTGTCAGTGGCATTGAGAGGACTTTTACTAGAGGGACCAAGGAATGCAATATTCTAATTGTGCACTTTTTTCAATCAAATATGTCAAAGAGTGATTGATAGGAATAAATTAAAACTACTTGAAGAAAATGTTGCTGAGACTTTATGTATGTTGGAAAGGTGCCCTTCATCATTTTTTGACATTATTGTTCACTTGACAATCCATCTAGGACGAGAAGCTCGCATATGTGGACCAGTGCAGTTTCGTTGGATGTACTCATTTGAAAGGTGAGGTGTATATAACTTTTTATTATGAATTATTAATCATATAAATTTTGACATTCTTCTTTTGTGTATGTAGGAAAAGAGAAAGATTTAGGGCAATGAGGAAAAAGCAAACCCTCTTACACACCATGAGTCGTAAAGGTTATGTACGACTAGAGGATGAAATGGTAAATTTAAGAGTGATTCAAGTAGATTGTAAATTGGGTATGAAGTATGGTTACTATGAAATCGTTTTAATAATGTTGATTTTTCATTTTCTATTTTATTTTCTAGAGAAGAGAAAGTCGAGCACCATCATCAACATCAAGAGTTGATGTTTGGATTAAAGGGCATACGATGAAGGAAGGAAAATCCATGAATGAAGTGCTTGATGTAACTATGGTACCAATATTCATATTTTTTTTTTAATTTGCATTCACATCAATTTATTAAGACATGCTTTATATTTTCAGAAAAAGGTTCAGGAACTTCACAACTCTTCTACTGATAAGAGTCCAAAATCTACAAAAGATGATGCCATTTTTCATACTTTTGGTCCCGAGCGTCATGGGAGTGTACAAGGACTAGGATTTGGAGCATTACCATCTACCATCTAAGGTTAATGCACAAGTACACCAAAATGAGCACGTGAGAAAACATGAAGGCAAGGTGCTGGACTTAAAACAACAACTCAATGAGATAAAAGCCATGCTTATCTAAGAAAGAAGGCAAAATGATGTAAAAGCAAAAGCTAAACATGATAATATAATGTCTGATGATTTAACTCAAGTAAATTTTGATTCAAATCATCTGTTATTTTATATTTAAATCACTTGTATGTTTGCCTTTGAGTGTAGGGTACCAATCCCTCCGAAAGAAGCTCCGATCTACTCCAAAAATATTGCATGACAAAAATGCCGTAAAAAATTATAAACGACATACAAACTATGTCATTAATGTTTAATTTATTACTTTTTACAACTTTACATGCATGCCGTAAATGACGCTCAACTTTCCACGGTACGTCATATAATGGCATTTGTGTGCATGCCGTGAAAGAGTTTTTACGGCAGGCATTGCAAGCCATAAAAATTCAATTTTGTTAGTGATAGTTTGCTAGGGAGTTCTAGATCCTTCCATTAGACTCTCTTTCTTTCATGCTCCCCTTTGGATATTTTGGAGAATTCTGTAGGGCATGATAGGTTGCTAACTTGCTACGCATGCATAGTAAGGGATAACAGACAACAATCAATCAAATGGAACTTTGCAAACATTAAAAAAAACAGAATCTAAGAATTATTTGGACCAACTTAACAACCTTCATTCTTTGAATTGTAACTTGTTTTCGTCAGATAATCTGTTGGCTTAGCGGGAAGTTCTTCAGAAACCTATTAGTGGGAAGTTCTTCAGAAACCTTTTAGTGGGAAGTTCTTCAAAAACCTTTCTCCCCTGCACAAGAAACATAATGAACTTAGTAACAAATGCATAGAATTCATAAAGTTTATTGATTTATTCATTTTTTGTTTCAGGTACAACAGTATTTTCATTGTAAAAACCAACTTCGATTTCCATGAGTGCTCCTTGAATGTGTACGATAGAACCTAACTTGGAAGCATGAAAAGAAATGTGGGTGTGGAGAGAGGAGGCATAAGCAGAAGAAAGAGAAGAAAGAGTGTCTGCCAACCTAGATTTATAAGTTTAGGAGCAGAAGTACGTATGTTGCATCAGTTTATGGCATAAAAGAAGTGTCCAATATATTCAGCTTTCAATAAAGTATCACACAATTTTCTGCTAACAACAACATGCACAGGGTTAACTAGCAATTGATACAGAAGAATCAAATTTGCTATCATCAGGTTCCTTTCACATGTATTGGAGAAAATTTGAAATTTCAAATCTTCCTTGTGCTGAAATTAATGCCTAGACTTTTCCTCTATGCCATCCTGTTGGGTGTTTTTGAAAACAAATTTAGCCCAAGACTAACATAACCTTAAAGCCCACATTTAAAAGTTTAGCAAGGGACATGGCACAAATAAAATGAATCCATCATAAAGTGTAATTATCAAAATGTTACAATTTGTGAATTGAATCTTACAATTCAGATAGTTTCAACACCATTTTCGATATGAATCACTCGTTGAATCTCATATCATAGAGATGACATGTGAAAGTATGTGACATAAAATAATTTCATGATTTGTATGGTTCACTAGCCTCTCAAAGTCAAAAATTGCAAAAATAGCTTTTCTGAGTCTTTCCCTCTACTCCTAAAGTAAGCTTCCCAAAAGCCTTCAGAGTGAAAATATATTGAAGGCATTTGGAACTAGCAAATATAGTTTCCAATTGTTTAGATATGCTGGATGTTAGAAAGTGTCTTTAGGAAGCTTTGAATGAAATAAAAAAGAAAGAACCGTTAACTTCTTCCTTGGTTTCATCCTAATGGATATCCTTCAAAACAACATACAACATAGGATATCATCCTACATGCATTTAGTTAATTCAGCCATTACTAAGGCAAATAGGTAAGGAGTAATTGAAAATTCACTAGTTTCCCTTGTAGGTTGTAGGTGATCTAGTAGTAGCCACAACCCCCATCATACATGTTTTTTATCGCATCCTTATACTCCTTGGTCACACTCTTTTTCTCCAACACCAACCATATTATATTTTTAGGCACCCTATTGTAAACTTTTTCTAAATCTATAAAAACCATATGTAGATCCCTCATTTTCCCAATGTGCTTTTCTATTATTCTTCTTAGACAATATATCGCTTCTTTAGTTGATCTACCAGACATAAAATCAAATTGATTAAAGGACATTGTCGTTGTAACCCTTTAGAGATGCTCAATGATTCTCTCCCACAATTTCATATTATGAATCATGAACTAAATGTCTCTATAATTGTTGCAATTTTGGATTTCTCATTTTTCTCGACTTATCATGTATTTTCCTAGTCATTAGAATCTTATTAACGAACTTTGTTAACCAAGACACCCCTTCTTACCTAAGCATTTTCAAGCCTGAATAAGGATACAGTTTGATCCTAATGCCTACCTAATTTCATCTTCTTCAGTGCAAGTTACACCTCAAACTCTCTTAGTCAACAATAAAACCTATATTCTCTAGTCCCATCAAAGCTATCATATTCCACTACTCTTAGATTTTCTAAATATTTTTATTTATCAGTTTCTAAAAATAATTTTTTCACCTTTCCTTAACCTCCTCATCCTTGACTAACACCTTCAAATCCTCACTTCTATATACTTTACCTGATTAAGTGTCTCGTGTCATATCTCTCAATTTAGGAAATTTATAAATATTATTTTCTCCATCTTTACTATCTAATCTAGAATAAAGATTGGTGTAGGCTATAAAGATTGGTGTAGGCTTTTAGCTTAGCATCCCTAATTATCCTTTTAACCTCCTTATTCGCCAATTTATACCACATAAAATCTTCATCCTTTTTTATCCTTTTGTCATTTTTCAAACCACTCATTAGATACATATTGACCATACAACCAAATTATTAGTAAAGGATCATACTTTTGAATTATTGTTTGATGTTTCTGCGTTGTCAGTTGAAATCTGAGATAAATCTTCATCATCATCAAGAACATCATCATCGGTCCTGCGAACGACCTCTCTTGGTACCTGAGAAAGAATTTTGACACCAAGTAAATCTCACGAGTACAAACTACCAGAAAACAGAGGCAGCAATATGTCAAAGTAGCAGTAGTTTGACAATGATATACTCACTCCAAATAATGATTTTATGAGTGCTCTGTCCTCTTCTTCCAACTTCTTTTCCTGTTGACCAAAAAAATCCCAGGACTTAGTAAGAACTGATGGTAATAAAATAGTATGCAAATTCACATGTTTTGAGTTCCTATGCTACCTTGACAAATTCACACTGTAGCTATGATGTGGTCAAATAGCAATAACTCTGGGTGATTTATTATGACATCAATTGGTCCAACAGTTTAAAGTATAGAAATTCTGAAGCTCAAATTCCAGCAAAATTATAGTTTGCTTTTGAATTCGAGCCCTATTAAATTCTCGTCAGATCAATACAGCCAGTGCCTAGCCTTAACACTGAACAAATTTTAGGTAGGCATGCCAAACCAGCCATTTAACTTACTTATCTCAAAAGAAGAAAAAAAGACATTCAAAGACTTTAATATATATATATATATATAGAACTTATTACTTGTGTTAATTTTCAGTTCAATGAGTTAAGGAGGCAACCTGAATCAAAACCTATTATGTTCAAAAGTGAGTAGAAGATTACTTGAATGCAGCCCATCCAAAAAAAAAGGTCAATCTACATGCTTACTTCAGGCAGTTCTGCAGGTATAAACTAGTATTGCCAGCTAAACATAAATTCAATCCCATATTAGATACTGCTGTTGCCATTCACATAAATCTAGTACATCACAAAAGTGACCAAAATGGCAATTGGGCTTCATTGTTCAAGGCCTACACAAAATGCATTTACACCCAAAAGGTTGAAATAATGAACTAGCGTAAATGACCTTACCTTTTCCTCAACTAAGCATTGCAAGATCTCCAGCATTGCATCTACACTGATAGTTGCTTGTCTTGACTGAAAAAGCAGAAAGAAGACTTGTTTTAGTATGCTTAAAATATAAATTCAAGTTCACATCTGAGTAAAATGAATAAAACAAAAAACTTTCACACACTTCGCTAATTATCCCATATGCCAGGCAAATTGACATTTTAACCCAAAATAAGTTTACCAACCTATGAAGTTAATAAGGCCATGAATTTAGTAGCTGAATCATTAAGTTATTCTCAATTTATCTAGAATTCCAGCCTCGACCCTGCCTGACTCTATTGGTATGAGTTGGGGTTAATCGGGGTTGGGGATTAATAAAACTACTCTAGTCAAGGTCGGAAACAGGGCATCCCCTCTCGGAACCCCCAGATTTTTTATATATTGATTATCAACATACCCCCTTAATATATGTTTATTACATTCACTACGTATTAGTTATTTGACTAAGCAAGTACGCTGATGGACTTCACTTCATCCAGGGCAACAAGGATGTCCATCTCTCTTTTTGAATCCAAGGTTCTATTCTCCAAGGATTTCATTACATCTCCCATCTCTTCAGTTTCCCTTTTTTGTTTTTCCTTATCTGCTTCCTAACGAAGAGAGCAATGTACAAATTATATAATAAACCAAAATCAAAATCATGATTGCAACAAAATAAGGAGATCTAAAGAGGAAATAGAAAGCTGTCTATGGCATGCTAACGTAATACCTCATCCTTTGCATGCCAAAGTTCGAAATTCCGTGATGCACCCAACTCAACAACATAGTCTGAATTTTGCGGGTCGGTCTTTATTGTTAACTCAGCAGAGCACTTAGTGCATTTGAAATAAAACCTGAATATTTGGATCCCCAAGTATGTCTGCAAATAGTTTTAACATTTCAGTCAGTCACTGAACAATAGTAATACATATCTCATAATCAAAGTCTGAAAAGGATGTATTTTACCGATCACAGAAATAAGGATAAATAGAGTGAAGATAACAATATTATAACCATAACAAGGGTATCCATCTTTCAAACAGCATAATGTTGATATTTCATCCAATGTCACCTCATGCTTTCACATAGAATATGTTCAATCAGGACATCACTTCATCAGGTTAATCCCAATGCGAAAGTAGAAAAGATAAGGTAGATGGTAAAAATCTGGCATCTAGAACAGTAGTAGATTTGTAGTGATAGTACTGGGGGTACATTGAATCCACAAAAAAATATGGTTGCTCTACTTAGAAAGTGTCTCTAGATTTATGATCAATAGTTTCCTTCTTACACAACTTGTGTTAATCCTCTAACCTTAATTGGAGACATCTACCATTCGTCACTAGTTAAGGAATAATAGGTGACCCACATAAACAGGGGAAGAATAATAACTTCTAATAAAGACGAAACAGAGGGAGATCCTGAATTTTTGTGCCAAAAATTTCAAGTTCCCCCCCCTTTTCTCCCTTCTAGAACAAAAATAATGACTTTCTAGTTCATATGTAAAAACAAGTTCAAAAACACAAGAAGTTATGCAGACATTTTGATCTGTTAGAAATCGTGGTAGTTATGCACGAAAACATTCTCTTTGGATAAAAACCAACAAAATAGTTTAAGGCCTAGATAATTAGTCCTTATCTAACATCAAATTAATAAAAAAAAAAATATCTAAGTGACTATAAACTAATTAAAATGGTTTTCCTTATCAGTAATAAGTAGATTGATTTTTGATGTCAAAAACATGTATTTAAAAAACAAAGAAAAATAATCATCACAGTGCCCAGAGATACCGTTCCAAAAGGTTAACAATCAACCAAATGTTAAAACAAGTAACCTGTCCCATAGAAACTAGTTTTGTAAACATCGTAATTTAACTTAAAAATTAGAAAGATTATAAAACACATCATATTCCACTGTACATTACATATGAGGAACCTATGACTAAAACGCTTGATATGCACAATCACCAGCATGGAACCAGGCCCTAAAACATGCATGAACTAATAGCTATTTTGTTTTTCTATTATACAGTATGTGCTCATACCACAAGGGCGTAGTTTGATCAATGTGTCTAGGTTATTAAACACATACCACCAGTAAAAGCTGATGTACACATATCTTTTGGTTCTCTACAAGTCCCATGGATAAAGCCCGAGCTGTGAATAACATCCAAAAAGTACACTTTCCTTCACAAAAAACTGTTGCCTCAATTACATGCCAACAGTATTCGAGTTCTACTAGTATACCCAAAATTTCAAGCAATCAATCATTCTAAAACAAAGACATAAATTTAGCAGGACTAATAGTGAGGGGACTGATAATCCATGAGATTAGCGTAGGATTGGTTATCCAGCTTGGTTAGTGAGATACATAATTCCCTCTTGTCCACGTTTATTTTGCAATAGATATGGAAATATATAATCCCAATTATATATATGTTTTGCATTATTAGTTGTAGGATTAAAAAATCCATCAATTTTGTTGAATAAAATGGTCATTGAAATCTAATCTGAATAAAATTTGCAACCAAATAGTGTAATGTGAGTCTTATGAATTAATAATCCCAATCAGGGATGGAACTGTATAGGGACGGACAGTAGCCACGGTTCCTCCCAAGTTTTGGAATATTCAAATACATCCCTTATATTTCATGATTATTTATAATATATAATGAGATTATTTATAAAATATATAATGAGATGATAGCTATTTTATAAAATCACTCACTAATTTTTTATTTTATCAGTATTTTATAATATATAATGAGATGATTTTTAACTATTTTAAATTATAAAATGACTTGTTAGATTTATTTAATTTCATCCTCATGAAATTCTGTTTTCACAATGTTTGTATAAAAAATTATTTTTAATTAGTCATGTACCAAAACTAAGTCAAATCTTTTTATACACACCTTCCCCACCCCCCAAAACAACATTTATGGTTCTGCCCCTGATCCCAATCCTAGGCAATAGTCCGCCTAACCAAATAGATATATCAAAAAAGCACAGATAGATAACAATACAAATACACAATACACAATATGTAGAGTCTCCAATTTAGAGAAATATAAAAAATAAAAAAATAAAAAATTCTCAGATAGTGTAATCAAGGACTATGAAAGATATTAACAATTAACAATTACGAATAAATAGATACACACACATATATATTATATATGTATACCTCGCAGATGATGTCTTCCTTGTGGGAGTTGAACTTGGTACCTTTGTAGATGTAATTGCTGCAGGTGCCACAGTGAATGCTCATGGGAAGCATCATCTGCACTTTCATTTGCTGGTTCTTTGGCTGCCTCCGCCTCAGAATCTTTGCTGGATCGAAGTCCGACGGGTAGTACTTGTTCAACACCTTCCTTTCTCCCATCTCTCATTCCTAAAACTACTAACAACAAAAAAAAGGTTGATAGATCAATAGATTTGCTTCAAATTCAACTGTCACACACACAATGTTTTGTTGTTACTTGAAAATCGAGAGTTTATCTTTATTAATTCTTTATTTCTTCATTAAGAATGATTGGTAAAAAAATATCTAAAAAATAGAAAAGGTAACATGCTAATCTTACATGTGAACCCATGTTAACTTCTCACCTATTAGACCATATCATCATCATCCAAAACAACATTTTCATTAATTTAAGTTTAAATATTTCATATTTGTTAGATATATTGAACATATAAGTGTAGATATTTTTTTCTAAGTAATTTAGAAAAAGTGACTGAATCTTTACGACTCACGATTTGAGTCAATTACCGATTCAGTACAAGGTTATTTTAATTCACAATTCGAATCCTGATTTGACAAATATGCTTTTAGAGTACACAAAGTTACGAAGAAAGTAATGTGCCACACGATAAAATATGGTACATTCCAGGATAGGTTTTATCTATTACATAGTTGGAACTTGGAAACTTGATAATCTAATTTTGGAACTAGAATTAAATTAATCATATTCCATACATTGAGTCCTTAACATATTGTTCCTTTGTCTCTTGCTCTAAATAAGTCTATTGTATAAGAATTCGCCTTGCAACTCTTGATGTTTAGCCTCATAAATAGAAAAAACATGGACAAAACTTAGAAGCAATTTTCTAAAAGGGCTGCAACGGGGGAGCATCCATATTGGTTTGGCCTAACCCAAACTCGATCCCCCAATTACACACAAAGCATCCCAACCCATCCCTACCCCTGCCCCACCCCGCCTAAGCCAACCGGGTTTAACAAGGTTGGGGTGGGTTGAACCGACATAGATGCAATTAAAAACACAACTCTTATTCTTTTTATTTTCCTTTGACATCACGCTGCTCGATTCCAATTATATTTTATTTCTAGTTGATAATACCAAAGATGCATGGATAGGTACACAATATAGACACACCAATCATGAAAGTTTCGAACAAATCAATACAAAACATGGCAAGGAGATGACAACAAATAAATATATAGTTTTATTTGTATTCTTAAAAATAATAACTATTTCTTCATTTTTGCATTACAAATCCTTTTTTTTTTATAAGTACAAATATCATTAACCAAAAGGCACTAAGGAGGTGCCACCACATACAAAAAAAAGGGTCTCATAACCTAAAAATTTATAAAACAAAACCACCAAAGTATACTTCCCAAGCTACTAAAAATGGACTACAAAATTCAAAATTTGGCTAAAAAGATTGGTATAATGTACCCAAAAACCAATTGTACAAAATAGACAAAAATGAACTCCAAATCTTAAAGAGTGGCACGTCACCTCTTTGAAGATCCTATTAATCTACTCTCCAAATGATCCACATAATAGCCAACAACACCAAGTTTTACACATTTTCCTTTCGTTTAACCACACTAACTTCTCACCTAAGAAACACGAGCATGGATACAGATGTAGACGCGGGCACAGACATGGATGCGGATGTGGGATACAGTGATTTCAAAAAAATGGGGACATAGGCACAACGGGGACACGACAACAAAATATATTTTCATATATTTTTATTTGTTATCTCGATTAATATTACATATACAAACAATTAATATTAACAAAAATTAACTCTAATTCTATTTTTCAAATACTTTTAAATTAATTAAATAAGGGGACACACATACATGTTCCCAAGGTGTCCGCATGTCCGACACTGATACAACACTTGTTTTGAAGTGTCAGTGCTTCATAGCTTCTCACCAAGATTAAAGGAGACCCACCACTTCCTTTGGCAAGACCGACTCCAACCAAACCAGGAACCGAGGACCACAAAGCATTAGCCACCTCACAATGAATAAGGAGTTGACTAACCAATTATCCATCCTTCTTACACTTACACACAAAAAATTAGATTTGTCTCATCTTCTTCAAATTATTAATAGTGAGAATCCTGCCACGAGTTGTCGTTCAAGTAAAAAAAATATATGTTAGTAAGTAGGTATTTCACACCTCAAACACCTCTCCACAATATAGTCCCACCATTACTACCCAACAACCTCATAAAAAGACTTGACTGCAAAGCTTGCAAATTTTTCTCGGTCAGTTATAAATGGATGAAGAAGTTCAAAATAAGAGAGAGATAGAGAGAGCCATTAGATCATGCTCAACTCTTCAGTCCCATTGCTTATGGCTTTGGAGGGTTAAAACAGTTTAGACTTCTTTCCCCAAGTATAGTGCAAGCTTCTTTTGCTAACAATGGTTTGGGGTTGGGATTATAGGACTGCATTAAGCATCATAATCAAACTGTATGTTCAATAAAGTATCCCTTTGTTGCTTCTCACAAAACATAATAATAATCAGATTGTATTTTTGCAACTTGAAGGCGTTCATAGCTATGGGGAAGGATCTGAGGGAAATTACATGTCTTTTTATCAACTCAAACCCAAAAATCTGCAACCTAAACCCACAAATTACATGTCTTTTTATCAACTTAATCAAAGGGGAAAAAAACTAGTCTTAAAATAGGACGAACACACACACATATATACATCAAACCCTCTCACGCTACACAAAGACAAAGATTCTCAAAAGAAACCATTGACGAAGATTCTCGGAGGCCTATTACTCGTAAACGATCAACTCAATATACAGAGAGAGGTATCTGTATATCTTCTATCTAGATAGATAGAGAGTGAGAGACCTCAGTGTAGATCGATCGTCGTTCAGTGTAAATCGTCGGTCGGAGGTTCAGTGTAGACCGTCGAATGATGGGTAGGGTAGAGAGAGAGAGAGTCTCTGCGTGTGTTGTGTTTGTTTGTTGGGTAAACTGAAAGAAAAGGGGCCTGAGGCGTAAAAAAATAAAATAAAATAAAATTTTTTAAAAAAAAAAAGTGTCAAGGCGGGTCGGGTTTGTTGGGTATGATGGTGGATCACCCGCCACCCGATCCGAACCCGAGAAAATTAAAAACCTGAGCCCACATCCGTCTGTCACATGTCACGCATCCATCCAATATTGGTCGGTCCGAGCGGTTTTGGCGGGTCGGTGGATCTGCTGCACAACTCTACTAAGGAGATAAATGCTTTATGAATTCGGGAATAACAATTGCAATACCTGAAATTAGGATTTGGTTTGAGCTTTTCTAAGTTCTGCATAGTACAATCCTTGTTGAACTCTAACTCTCCTTTGTAGAATCCTCTTAGAAATCACATTCCTAAAGGATAATGCTTATCCTTTAACACCCTCCTCACAAGCTAAGTGAGATGTCATAACTCTTTGGATGGCTTCCCACCAAGCATCTGAACTACTTTACTTTGTCCGCCACTGACTTAGTCATGCAACATGCAGCACTGTGTAGATTTTGCACGACGCGCCACAATGTTGACATTGTGCGGCTTTTTTCCTAGCTCGGTCAAAGTTTCACTCTCAATTTTCGTTTGACTGTCTTCCCTTATATCTCGGTCAAAGCATTGGCTGCCTCTAGAAAGTAGCTAGGTCAAAGAATATGGGCATTTACTAGTTCAGTCAAACATCTTTGACTAACCTGACCTCTGCTCAGCCCAAACCAAGCTTAGCACGACCCATCACATAGCCAGAACCTTAATGCCACTTCCAACTAGTTCGACCCAATTTGGTGACACAAATTACCCTCTCAATAACTAAAGAAGAAAATTGATCATAACTATAAAAAAAAATGGCATAACTGATAGAGCATATGACGCATCCTTTTTAAAGGTGTGTAGGTTAGAATTTCCTTTTTCGAAAACAGTCTGTAGATGAGTTTTCTTTATTTTTATTATAAAAAATTGGGGGATTGACCAATAATAAATCTTATATTTTGGATTTGTGGGTCATATAGTTTTTTTTTTTGAGATCCATTTAATCCTTTTGGATATGTAATTACTTATATACCCCGTCATATTGGAATGTTACATTTGAAAAAAATATAATAGGGAATTTTTTTAGTGTGTTATATCATACCCATCACATTGTATGTCATATCATACCCGTCACATTGGAGTTTCACATTTGAGAAAAGTATACTAATGAGTTATTTGGTATGTCAAATCATATCCGCCACTAGGGGTGTGCGCGGTGCGATTCGGACAGTTTGAGAGTAAAATTATAAAGCAAATTGCAGTTTGGCAGTTTGGCAAATTGTGGTTTGGGCGGTTTGAAGCGGACTGGCGGTTTGAAAAATATTCTTAACCAATTATCAAGCATTTACATAATATATAATACTAATTTGCATACTATTTTTCATATATAACACGAACTAATTTTGCATTATATTTTTCATACATATAACTACTAATTTGTAACAAATTTCACATCTTAAACCTCTCTCACACTCATTTTTACTTTGATGTTTCATTAGAGGTTAAAAAATATATATATTAACTATAGTAGAGCGAAGCAGTTTTGAAAGCGAATTATAAATTTTAAATTCAAACCGCAATTAGTGGATAGAGCAGTGCAGATCGATGCAATTTTAATGGATTGGACAGTATTTTTCACAATCTTAACCGCCACATTGGAGTGTCACATTGGAAAAAAATACACTAAAGAGTTATTTAGTGTCACATTATACTACATTGGAGTGTCACATTGGAGAAAAGTGTACTAATTTTTTTTTTAGTGTGTCACATCATACTTGTTATATTAATGAAAGGGTATAGCCATCCATCAAAAAACTACCAAAACCAAAAACAGGATCACACAAAAAGAAACTCTTTACTAATAGGATTTAAAAAATTCACCAAATATAAAAAAAAAATATAATATATTTTTGTATTTTGTTATATTCAATAATTTTTTCTAAAATTTTTGTACAAATTTTATACTTTTTAAGTATATCAAGATTAAGTAGATCTAAAAAATAAAGATAAAAATCATAAGTAAAATATTTTTAAAAATCACTAAAAATACAAAATACGAATTAAAAACTCAAAA